TAAAGTACGTTTAAATAAACTCGAATCATCATTTCCTCAAGACAAAGCCTCCACGGTATACCTTTACGTGATTGTGAGTCTCAACCTGGAGAGCCTGACCTCTGTGGGGATCACATATCAGATATCTTTCTAGCAGATGCTTACAGTATGGTGCGTGAGCATGGCAAAATTACGGTTATGAAGTAACAACAAAACGATATTATGGTTGAGGGAAAGCACAACATGAGGAACTATATTAAAGAGTCACAGCATTAGGAAGGTTGAGAACCACTATCTAAACTGTCTACATGAGGTCACCAACCATGGGATAGATACCTGTGAGTTTGTACTACAGAAAATGGACTTTTATTTTAAACGGATACCCAGACAACATCATAATTAACATGATCCTGAGGCTGAACAACGTGGAGGCCTCTGGGTAGGGAACTGTTACTAATAACCCACAATTCTTTGTATTTTATATATTGCAATATAGTATACATTATTATGGCCAACCACGTGACATATATGGTAACACATAACTAAACTGCTTCTGTCTCTCCTTTCTGTAAATACATTTTGCTTAATTCATCTACATATTGTGATGATTTCACCCCACAACACATTTCTCCCTAAACATCCTAATCCAAAAATTGAGATTGTTTGGGATCTTGGGCTCTGTTGCATCCAAAGACACAAAGGGGGAAAAATTAAAGTGTTAGGGAAGTTCTCCAGGGTCTCTTCAATCTTAAAAAGTTTGAGACTGATTGATAGTACCTGTTCATGAAAGGACTTTCTAGCCAGTTTGAATTCATACAAGAGTATGATGTTATTACCAATTCTCTGGTCACTGAGGAAGAAAGATCTTTCACCACTCCAGCTATCTGTCCCATATCTCTTAGAGAAGTGCTGAACCAAAGTCCTTCTCTGTATAGGAATTCACGTCTATTCCACAGTTTTCCTGTTTCCACAGAAACGAAGTAGGTTTGATTATTAGGGTGGCTTTTCTAATCAGCTTTATTTTTCAGATTGAACACTTCAGACTCTCCAAATCTCTCTCTAGGGCTGATTAGTAAATCAGTTTTATAAAGCCTATATCTTTTTGTGAATATATCATATATGATCTTTCCTATTTTATCAAGTGTCTTCTTATTTAGAAATGATGGCTATGAGGTCTTATTTGTACTCAGTTTTTTTATTTCCTTAGATCTTTGATTACTGACTATAACCAAGGGCTTCAGTTATACAGGTTTATATTCAAAGTGACTCAAAGCAATTTATATTTAGAGTGGCAACACCAGTGTGGTTAATTAGGCAACACTTAACTCATCCCAAGAGAGTTGTTGTTTTTTTTTTTTTTTCACTTGCCATCTCTGTGAGTCTGTACATATGAACAGCTACAGCTTTAAACTTACCCTCCTGTTGTTCCTTAGAGAACTCGATCTGTTAGAAAGAAATTAATCTTAAAAAATTTTTGACCAGAAAAGAGCTTCCTGATTTAACAGTGCATCCAGCTCATTTCCTGAATTCTCTTCAAAGTGAGCTCCTGGAGTCAGCCCATTTTTCTGAGTTCAGGCATGGCATGGACACGAGCAGTCTGAGCCACAAAGTAGCATGCTGTGGAGTTAAGGGACATTTCAGACACAGGCAGAGCCCTGCCTATGGCAGAGAAGCTCAGATCACTTACCGGCAATCTGGTCAGCGCTGAAGGACTGCAGTGGCAAGAGAGAGAAAGAAAGAAAGGACTTTCAAATGCATTGACAGAATGAGTGCTGTCTGCTCTGAGGCCTTTAGGAAACCATGTAGCTCTCATAGCACAGGAAGAGCGAGGGCAAATTTGAACCTAGGAGCATAAAATCTATTGCAAAAGTTAAGAACTCTTTTCCATATATCTTAATGATATAAAGATATTAAAAGTGCTAAATTGAACACTTTCTAGAATGCCATAGTGGTCAATATTTAGCATGTCTGATAAGATATACATTTAAAACTGCAAATAAAATTGCATAAAGAACCACCTTAAGCCTTTCTGTTTAATATATTTTAATATATTTCTGTTTAACATATTTTTATAATAGTATATGATACTGAAGAATCAGATGCAGTTTGCTTAACTTCAGCTATCGGTTATCGTTGGAGTCTATTTTACAGCATACTATTTCACTATAGCTGCACTTTTTTTTTCTTTCTAAATTTAGATGAATCTTACGTGATATAGCAAAAGCTGGTGAAGCCCAAATGCCTGCTCTGGGTAAGAAGATCGATTTTTTCCATCTGGTGCAATAGTTCGAAGCAATTTCTTCTATCTTCATCATAGCTCACCGAAACCAGCATTAGGTTCCAAAAACCTTGTGCTAAATAGGCTCTGCCCTCCATTCTATTCCTTGTCTGCCTCCTCTTCTCAGTATGCTCCTGTTGCCCAACTGAATCCTTCCTACAAATGGCATATTGCTTTCTTGTAGCACCCACCATGATGGAGTTCTGGGCTGCAGAACAGCAGTGGGGCTGAAGAGTAAAGGGAAGGCAGCTCCGATCCCTGAGTGGAGTCTTCCTTCTCAGTGGCTCCCTTTTATTTCTGGGCAAACTGACCTCATATGTAGCGTCAGATTTCATGGGGCAGTTGTCCCTCCTCCTGGAGAAGTTCTTTAACTTTCTTAGGGCAGAGAGAAAGAGGGACACGTACCCTAGGGCTATTTTTAGCAAACTAGCACCTAGAAGTGAACAGCCCTGGTGAGACTGAAGCCTGTCAGTACTTTTATGGTCTTTATCTCTGAGATGCTCACAGTCTTCCTTAAGATGTTTCTTTGCTCGTGGAAAACTTGGGATTCATCTAGGGCTCAGGCTTCAAGTAGATAATTATGGTCCTTGCAAGTGTCTAGTCAGCAAGTGTGGGTATTAAGTGAACCACTTGGATGCAACTGGGTTGAGGTTTCAAATAGAGATTGATATAGAAACAACATTCTCTGAAGCTCTGCCCCTTATGGTAAAGTTCGGAGATGTTGAAAAGGCATTGCATGCTCTGTGTGTTTATTTCTTAGGATGTGCCCAGATGGCCATCTGAATCAGCTTCCCAAATCTCCATTAAAGCTTACACTTTTGCAAGCAGCATTTGCAGGAGTATAATCTAAGCAAAAAGTGGTTCAGCGCTTCTGCCTTTTCCCTTCATCTCCTGACATAAGGTTCGAGCATGTCTTGCTTTCCCTATTTTCTTTATAGAGATTGTCTGTTCGTGTATTTTTATTTCTGAAGTTCTTAGCAGGCAAGAAAATGGACATATCAACTTTGTATTATTATTTTTCCGATGCTAGGCTCTTACCAAAAGCAAGCGGCCCTCTCAACAGTTTGTGGCTCAGTCTGCAGCCTGAGAGTAAACTAACCTAAAGTAAGGCTCATGGCGTGCAGCACAGTACTTCAGCATTTTAAAGCTGTTTAAGTGAATTGCCAGCAATGGGCTTTTATAGCAGCTTATCTGAAAATCGGGAAAGCTGGCATGGCTTTGGGGGAAAGATCAGGTTTAGAGTGTTCACTCGAGTTCAGATACAATGGTTATCGTTTTCTACACATTTCATAGCTCAAAGGAATAAAGGAGGTGTGAGATGAACTGTGACTTCTGCAACTGTCCCTAAGGAAGATATTCATAAAAAGCATGAAGTGTGTTCTGCTAGGAAGATGGATATTTTGAACTTATCCACTTACTATTCCAGAAGAAAGAAACAGCTAAATATATGCCGCTTTTTCAAGATAATAGCTATGTGCACATTTCAAAACACAATGGTACTCTTTATTCCACATAGTTATTAGATGTGAATCAAAATTTTAAAAACATCTATTACTTTTGGCTCAAAGTTTACAACTATGAAAAAAACTTACAGGATTTTGAGACTCCAAATGAAGAATGATAATATAACTTTTAAGTTAGTAGTACCTCAGTGGATATATCTTCATAAACAGACTGATCTTTTTAAAAGTTAGTGGGAATGATAGTTAACAGAAAAATTAAAAAATGTTTTGAGTCATTAAAGTGAAAGTTTGTAATTGTACTTTTGTATGTGTACCATTAAATGTGATGTAATTGTATATATGTATTTGTACCACTAAATCTGAATTGTCTTTATTGTTGAGAAGTAGTATATATCTTTAGAGAAGTTAATAACTATAAATATTACATCAAAGTTTCCCTGTTGAACATAATGATAATATTCATATTTTGTCTTTTTCTGACAGAAAAATGTGGCCTTGCATACATATGAAACATCAATTTGTATAAAAACTTGTGGGAAAGCTGGAAAGTCAGTATAAAACTTGAATTTGTGAATTATCTTTTTAATCACTTAAATATCATATTAAAGTTTGTTGTTACTATTAAAATTGAACCTTTAAAGTGGTAAGAAACTTAAATTATTTCACCCTAGTTTTTCTCTATACCTTTATAGTATCGACAATAAAAGTTTATATTTTTAACCTACTGAAAATCAAATTATGAAATTAAACATATCAGTTGACACAAAGTTAGATCTATGTTATATGCTGAAGAATAAATAAGAGATGCAACTCATCTGTCCACTGTTAGAACGACAAACTCCTTCTTGCTTCTCCTCCTTGTTGTAATAGGAACATCATCAGCTCTTTAAGCAAATGCATGTTTTGATTACCCAGCCATTTGGTTTGGACATCTTTGAGTTTTGTGCATTTCAAAGATTGGATTTAAATCTTTTCTGTCTTACATGCAACCCACTGTTCTCTCCTTTTGTCAAATTAGACATTCTTCTCAGCCTTGGTAAGAACCCCTCTTATCCAAAGAATGCTCTCTTCCCTGTGTTTTACCTGACTCCTTTTTCCCATGGCAAGCTAGTCAGTCTTTCTGCTTCATCTCCCAGGAAGCAGAGGCCAACGCTGAAAGCCCATAGCTTGTTTCTGATGTGAATCTGGATGGGTTTGAACAGTGCATCTCCCCCTAGAGCACTGACTTTGCCTTTTACTTAGGGTTTTGTCTGTCGCTGCTCTATGGGAACCACTTCCCTATTAGATGCTTAGTAAACTTTTCATTCAATTAAAACCAGTAGACTGTTAATACTCTAAACTCCTGGTACATTCAGGGTGTTACTGCTGTAGACCCAAGTTCTTATTTCCTATATGAGTTTCTCATCTAGAGCATTATATTCCGGGAGGACAGAAACTTTATCTGTTTTTTTTTTTAAAGTTTACATTCCAGGAAAAAAAGTATATTCTCTGTCAGTGCTACACCTTTAACACACAGAACTGCCCAGCATATAGTAGGCATACTTATTTAAAATTCTGTAATATTTATATCTCTATCATTTTCCTCTATATTTTATACAAATGCTTATAGACCAGAGTTCTAATTTGTCAATCCTCAATTTCTTTTCTAAAGGCATCTTTATTATCATAGCCTGTCTTTATCTTAAATGGTTAGTAAAAGGCCACATTTCACATTGTGATAACTCATCCACTCACATTTGATCTTGAGTTTTGGTAAATAGCAGTGTGTAAGACATCTGCTACTAAGGAGAATTTACGTTGCTGCGATGAGAGACATTTTTGCTCTGAGAATTGTCTTTCTGCCAGCAATCATGAAGTGTGGTTCACCAACTACAAATAAATTTTCTGGCATCTAGAAGGAATTGTTTTGTAGGACAAAATATTACAATGCAGTCAAAATGTAAAATTGATATGTTAAATTTTAGTATCTTGAAAGAAGAAGAGCTGTAATTAAAGACAGGTGGGAGATGTATGGTGTTGAATACTAAAGGGAATGCCCAAGGAAGAACATGGACTACAATGATCATAGATCTTTCCTATTTTGGGGGGAATGAGCAGATGCCAATGACTGGAGCTAAGAAAAGATACTGCTGTAACTGAGCCAGTTTTTAGTCAAGAGGACATTGCTGGATATTCTCTGCCTTCTTGACTGGCAGAGAGATCAGAGTTAAACATATATAAACCGTTAAGAAAATAATTAAAACTAATTTCTCACAAACAGTTTTTTTGCATCTGTTATAAAAGGCCATTAAAAGTAATATTTGAAACCCTTAGAATGGTGTGCTTCCTGGTAAGTCACTTGTGGTCAAAGGAAAGAAATATCTCTCCTTACACTTTTGAGCTCAACAAGAATACTTAGGGTGCTTATTTAAAATATTATATAAAGGGGAAATTAGAATAATGGGGGCATGATATGAGGGCTATTGAGTAGTTAGGTTGGATACATTGGTCTGAAATGAGGCCGACCTGGTAAGACTATGTTCATCAGGCTTGGACTGGTTGGTCATCTGAATTCTGTCACCTAAGCACAAAACTGTGCAATTAAAAATAGCTCAGCTCAAATCTGTAGGAAACCAGTAGAGATCTAAGCGAATTTTGACACAAGTTTCAAAATGTGATCCAAGTCTGCTCCTTTCCAGTTTTCTCTCCCACCTTTGCCTAGTTAATAATTGAAAAGTAAAATTAAAATTTCTTGAGAGATCTACTTTTCCTTTTATTCATTTGCATGTGATTTCTTACAAATTGAAAACGTGTTTCTGTTTCTTCACTTTTTAATTTTATAATGTAAGTATTTTAAACACAGTTCACATGCTAAGAAATTATAATTATGTTTTCCCCACTTCTTCTTTTGGAACAGCTGTGATAAATGAATATGAATTATTCTTCTAGAGACTTTGATGGAGAACTAGAATGGTAATGTTATTCTGGTTGTCATGACAAATCATGTGTCTTTTGATTTAAATAACTTCTATAGATTATTTTTCCTGAATACACAATAAAAGTTTCCATGATTTTTTTTGGGTTGCTTACGGGTCTAATATGTTTTGAATTTTCCATCCTCTTGTCAGTAGGACCTACCTCAACTTACTTTGTGAAAAAGGTCAGGGTATCTGAAAACCCAATTGATATTATGTTGTAATCATTGTACTAATGAAAGTTTTATCAAAATGTAATTTTGCTGCAGCACATTCAAGCCGACCTGGATTTTTATGAACAGGAGATAATATATTTTTGGGTGCCCGGAAGTTAAGAAACAGTTCACTCTCAGGGACAAAAAGAAAAATGTCTGTCCTAAGGGAAACCTTTCCTCCCCCGGAGCAAGCCGCTGTTATTAGTTTCTGACTAGAATAATTGAATTTATCACACGCATGATTTAAAATTTAACAAAGTATATTCTGAAGCCACTGAAACTTTTATATTGCAGGTTCTTCTGTCGAGATCTTGGTTTGGGTCAAAAAAAAAATTTAAAATGTTGATGAAGAAGTAAACTAGATAATATCCAGTTTTTATACAAAAGGCATTTCAGTCCAAAGAGAAGAAAGTGCAATCTCAGCAGACTAAATATAATCCTTCCCACAATTCCCATGAGTCAGATGGTGCTTAATGCTGGGTAATTATGGAATGACTTCTAAAGACAACTTGCCAGGGGCTTCATTTGCAGTACTGAAATGTCATGGGCTAAATTTGGCACTGTCACTTTGTGGTCTCCTCGACTTGCACAGATTTAATTACCTTTAAATG